GTGCCCCAATGCCCCAACTCGCCTATCGGCCCTACTCTGTGAGTGACAGGGGGGAGCTCCCCAACCCTCTGATCGACCCGTGTGACAGGTGGGTGATAGAGGGTGGCGCCCCAACCCCCCTCCACGGGCCTTGCTCTGTGTGTGACAGGGTAGAGCCATAACCTCCCCATTGGCCCTGCCCTGAGTATGACAGGGTGCAGCGCCCCAACCCCCTGATCCGCCCTGCTCTGTGCGTGACGGGGTGGCGCCGCAACCTCCCCATCGACCCTGCCTTGAGTGTGACAGGGGGCAGTGCCCCAACCCCCCAATCGGCCCTACCCTGAGCATGACTGAGGGTGGCATCGCAACCTCCCGATCCACCCTGCTCTGTGCATGACGGGGCGGCACCCCAACTCCCCAATTGGCCCTGCTCTGAGCCCCACCAGGGGCTGCACCTAGGGATTGGGCCTGCCCTCTGCCACCCGGGAGCAGGCCTAAGTCAGCAGGTCGTTATCTCCCGAGGGGTCCCAGACTGCGAGAGGGCACAGGCTGGGCTGGGGGACCCCCCTCCCCTCCCGAGTGCACAAATTTTTGTGCACCTGGCCTCTAGTTTCATATAAATGAAATAATTTGTGATCTTCTGTGACTGGATTTTTTTTTTTTTTTTACTTAGCATAATACTTTCAAGGTTCTTATTGTATCATGTGTCAGTACTTTTTCTTTGTATGACTAAATAATGGTCTGTATGAGTATACCACATTTTGTTTATCCATTCATCAGTTGATGAGCATTTGTGTTGTTTTAAGTTGATGTTTAACTTTTTGAGGAACTGCAAAATTATATTTTTATTGATTTCAGAGAGGAAGGGAGAGAGAGATAGAAACATCAATGATGAGAATCACTGATCGGCTGCTTCCTGCATGCCCCCCACTGGGGATCTGAGCCCACACTCCAGGCATGTGCCCTTGATTGGAATCGAACTCGGAACCCTTCAGTCCTCAGGGTGACACTCTATCCACTGAGCCAAACCAGCTAGGGGTACAAAATTACTTTTTTTAAACAGTGGCCCCACCATTTTATATTCCCACCAGCAATAAATGAAGGCCCAAATTTCTCTATGTTCAGCACTTTTTAAAAAAAATGTCGTACTGATTTTTAGAGGGAGAGAAAAGGAGATGGATAAAGATAGCAACATCGATGAGAGAGAAACATCATAGATCAGCTACCTCCTGCACAACCCCTTCTAGGGATGGAGTCTGAAACTGCGGCATGTTCCTGACCTGAAATCGAATCGGTGACCTCTTGGTTCATGGGTCAACAATTCAACCACTGAGCCGCACTGGCTGGGCTATATATATGGATTATATATATGGGCTATGTATATAAAAATGTGGGTTCATTTTTTGTTTGTCTTTTTTATTATAGCTGTACTAGTGGATATGCAGTGATATCTCATTGTGGTTTTGATTTGCATATCCCTAATGCCTAATGTTGAACACCTTTTCACATGCTTATTAGCCATTTGTATGTCTACTTTGGAGAAATGTCTGCTCAGATCCTTTGGATTACTTATATTTATTACTAACTTTTAAGAATTCTTTACCCTGGACACAAATCCTTGTCAGATAACTTCCAAATATTTCTCCTTTTTTGTGTATTGTCTTACATTCTTGATTGGTATTGTTGATAGCACAAAAGTTTTTCATTTTGATGTGTCCAATTTATGTATTCTTTTTCTTCTGTTGCTTGTGTTTTTGGTATCATAGCTAAGAAACCATTTATTTTTATGTTTTCTTTTAAGAACTTTATAGTTTTAGCTCTATACAATTAGGATCCATTTTGAGGTAATTTTATGTATGTTGTAAGGCAGGGGTCTCTTTTGCATGTAGATATCCACTCTCCTAACACCTAGTATTTGTTGAAAGACTATTCTTTCATTGAATTGTTTTGGCACTCCAGTTTTTCTTTTTAAGTGTCAAATAGTAGGACTCTGGTTTCCAATCTTTTTTGCTACTAGGACATACACTTTTTCATTTTTAATGTTTCTCTTTTCCCCCCTTCTTTCCCTCAGGATCCAAGGCCATTTTAATTGTCTTAAGCCTTATAGTTTACTATACACATTTGTGTTTACATGGTATGTCTCTACTACTTTAACCATTCAGATGAGTTTACAAAAGCACTGTTATTGGTCACCTTTAGCATTTCTGCCACTTTATCTATTTTAAAAACAACTTTTCAAAGATGTAAATGGGGCCATAGCTGGTTTGGCTCAGTGGGTAGAGCGTTGGCCCTTGGAGTGAAGGGTTCGGGTTTCATTCCGGTCAAGGGTGGGTACCTGGTTTACAGGCTGGATCTCTGGCCCTGATCAGTGCGCATTCAGGAGTCAACCAATCGGCGTGTCTCTCTCATATCAATGTCTGTTTCTCCCTGTCACTTCCACTCTCAAATCAATGGAAAAATGTCCTCAGGTGAGGATTAACAATCTGACAAAAATAATCAGTTCAATTTATATTTGAATTGAGTTATATTTAAGTTAAATCTGAGATTTATCAAATTAGTGTGGTTCATTTTGTCTTGGGGTTTACCATTTACTTTGATGCAAGAACAGCTGCTACATAGAATATCTCACACCTTTTTAAAAAAATATGTTTTTATTAATTTCAGAGAAGGGAGAGAGAGAAATAGAAACATCAATGAGGAGAGAGAATCATTGATCGGCTGCCTCCTACATGCCTTCTACTGGGGATTGAACCTGCAACCCGAACATGTGCCCTGACTGGGAATCAAACTATGATGAAGGGAAGGGCGGCAGGGCAGAGAAATATCCACAGCTCAGACACATCAATCAGTTGCCTTCCACACTCGCCCCAACTGGGACCAGGAATCAAACCTGCAATCCAGGTATGTGCCCTTGTCTGGGAATTGAACCCAAGACCCTATGGTGCTTGGGTCAACGCTCCAACCATTGAACCACACTGGCAAGGACTGAACTGATTTTTTTAAACAAACTGCCAAGTAAACTGGTTTGGAATACAGTCTAATCTGTATATTTCCTCACATTTTTATTAGAAAAATAGTGTGAAAACACTTTGAAATTTTAAATTGGTATTTATTTTTTGAGGAAGTACTAAGACATAAGGTTCAAAGTTCAAAATGGTACAGTGTCTTTATCCCATCACTGTACCTCAGTTCCCATGTTAGCAGTTTCTTGTGTGTTTCTTTAGCATTAATTTTGTATATATGAACAGAAATATATTTTCTTTCTCCTTTTTAAATATCTTTTTATTGATTTCAAAGAGAAGGAAGAAGGAGAGAGAGAAACAATGATGAGAGAGAATCACTGATTGGCTGCCTCTTGCACGCCCTTACTGGGGATGGAGCCCACAACTTGGGCATGTGCCCTGACCTGGAATCGAACTGTGAGCTCCTGGTTCATGGGTCGATGCTCAACCATTGACCCATACCGGCTGGGCATATTATATCTTTTAGGTCTTTGTATAGCTGTATATCAGGATCTGTCTTTTTGCTGCTTTTTTTAACAGCTGCATGGTATTGTTTTGGGATATATCATAAACTGGTACTGTTTTAATGGACACTTGCTAACAAATACAATCTTGCATAGTTATGTATAAGTTATATCTAAGATAAACAAAGTAAAATGATTGGATCAAAGAATATATGTTTATAAAATTTGACAAATATTTCAAATTGCTCTACTCAGAGATTGTTTCAATTTATACTCCCATTGATAATATATCAGAGTATCTGTTTTATATGCCCTGGTTCATATATTGTGTTTTTGATCTTTGACAATATTATAAAAGGTGAGAAATAGTTTTCCTATTTTCATTTGCATTTATTCTGTGATGAGTGAGGTTGAATATTTTCATGTGTTAAGGAGCCAATTTTATTTCCTTCTATAAACTGATTTTTCTATTTGATTACATCCTTTTAATTTGGGGGGCTCCTTATGTATTGGAGAGATTAATCATTTGAGGTGTGAGATGCAGCTTTTTGTGCCATCTGACTTACTTACAGTGATATTTTTACCTTAAAACTTTTAAGCCCTCGACAGGTAGCTCAGTTGGTTAGAGCATGGTCCCAATATGCCACGGTTGTGGATCCCTGGTCAGGGCACATACATGAATCATCCAGTAAATGCCTAAATAATTGGAAAATCAAATCCATCTCTCTCTGTGTGTCTCTGTCTCTGTGTCTCTCTGTCTCTCTGCCCCCTCCCTCCCTCTCTAAAATCAATCAATAAAAATAAATAATTAAAATATTTTTAAAATGTGAGTTGTTAATAATTTTCTTTTGCAGCTCTTGGATTTTGTGTCATAAATAGAAAGTTCTTCTCTAGTCTGAAATATAAAATAATCTTACGATTTTTTCTAGTACTTTCATTGTTAAATTTTTTGAACATTTAAATGGTATATTTAGGACTTTTCTCAGTATAAGTTGTAAATTATGGATCAAATTTTATTTTTTGGTTATAGCTATCCATATAACAATGTTAAAATTAACTTTCCCTTTAAAAAGAGTTCTGTGATACTGTTATCCCAACATAAAATTTAAAAACTTTTTAAAGTTATGAAATATTTCAACCTCATAGAGAAGTATGGAGAATAATAAATCTAGATTGCCCATGTACTCAGTACCTGGACAGAACAAATCTTAATATACTTTTAAAAATATATTTTTATTGATTTAGAGAAAGAGGAAGGGGGAGAGAGAGAAACTTCAGTTGTCCTCCATATGTGCAATGATCTGGGCCTGAACCGGAAACCCAAGGCTGGGAATCCAACTGGCAACCTTTCCGTGCACAGGACGACACTCAATCAATTGAGCCACTCTGGCTGGGCCAAATCTTAATATTTTGTCATGTTTTCTTCTTAAAGAAATAGACAATTTGAAGCCCCTTTACACTTTTTTCTACGCTTTTTCTTGATCTCATTCCATTCCAACTCTTTTCATTTTTGCCTGTTTGTCTTTATACCTGCAACTTTTTAAAAGGCTGTATAATTCGTAGCAGAAAATTGTCATCTTTTCTAGTTAATATTATTGTTATAAATATCCATATCACCACATATTTCATAGTTATATTTATGGACTGTTTAATTCATAGAGTTGAAGAGCCATATGGTAAACATCCTTTTGCAGGCATTTAGGAATAATCTATTCACAATTCTGATCAAGTCTACACCGTACTTCTTGGTGCTTGCTTATTTTGTCAAATTATCTTTTTTTAATCCTCACCTGAGGATATTTTTTCCATTGATTTTTTAAAAATATATTTTTATTGATTTCAGAGCAGAAGGGAGAGAGAGAGGTAGAAACATCAGTGATGAAAGAGAATCATTGATTGGCTGTCTCCTGCATGCCCCCAACCAGGAATCAAGGCTAAAACCCAGGCACGTGCTCTTAACCGTAATTGAACCTGGGACCCTTCAGTCTGCAGGCCGGCGTTCTATCCCCTGAGCCAAACCAGCCAGGGCTCCATTGATTTTTAGAGAGAGTGGAAGGAAGGAGGAGAGAGAGAGAAACATCGACATGAGAAAGACACATTGGTTGCCTCCTACACGCACTCAATGGGGGCAGGGGAATGAACCTGCAACACAGGTACATGCCCTTGACTAGGAATCAAACCTGTGACCCTTCCATGCAAGGGCTGATGCTCTACCACTGAGCCATACCAGCCAGGGCTATTACATTATTTTCTTATATTACATTACTAGGAACTATATTTTTGGATCAAAAGAACATTTTTGGGTCTGTGTTATATTATAAATTGCTTTTCAAAAGGCAGATCTTTCTAAGAAGCCAAAATCAACATAAAAACATTTCCCCAAATGAACAGAAATGATGCTTTATTTGGTTCTAATACCTTCACTTCACCCAGGAAATATATCACCTAGGAAAACGGTTTAGCAATCACTCCTTCTCAATGACTTTAAAGTCATGTCATTTTCCATAGTCACATATTACAGTATACCTCCCAGTGGCAGTTTTTTATTCCAGGGTTTGTACTCCAAACATTGAACTCTCAGTGTACTTCCCTCCCCCCCCCCTTTTTTCTTCTGTTTGGTGTGTATTAAGGCTTTTCTCATTTTATAGGGTATCAGTTAGCAGAGCAATCAAGCCCTTTGCAGAACCTGGCCGCCCTCCAGACTGGTTCTCTCAAAAAGTAAGTTCCCAAGCAAGTTTTAGAGCAGTCTCTGAGATGTGAAGTGGGTTCCCTGCCTTTTAATCACAAGGCTTTTATACCATGAGTAGGGAAAGTAGTTGAGAATACCTTTTCATTATCCGTTATTTGCTTATCCATGCATGTCAGTGTAGCATAACTGTTAAGAGCCCCTTTTCAAAAAAGAAAAAAATGTCTAAAAGTAAAAAAAAAAAAAAACCACAAAAAAACTAAAGACCCCAAGCTTGGGAATTAAATAGATCTGGGTTTAATATGACTCTACTTGAAAACTTTGGACAATGAGCTTCAGTTTTCTCATTTGCAAAGTAGCGATAAAAGTTGCTTCAGGATTGCTTTGAAGATTCAACTGAGGTAATACCTATAAAACATTTAGTACAGTGCCTTGCATATGGTAACTACTCAGTAGATAATAGCTATAAATATTGGCTATTAGGTTATCTTTTTATTTTGAACTGATTTGATGCTAAGTAATTTGCTCTCCTAGAAACATTCATGTCTCCCTTCTCTAAACTTTAGTTTATGTTGAAATTTTCCTGGCTTGCTCAACTTTCACTTTTTTTCCATAGCATTGTGCTTCTCAGTACTCTGAACTTCTAGAAACTACTGAGACCCCAAAGTGAGTACAAAACCAGGCACTCAAGCTAAATCTCTTTAGTGGAGTGTTTACTGAGGAAGTCTGGTTTATATCTATTTATATTACTGGGTGATAAAAGTATTGGAGAAGTTATCTGTGGTTAGGTGGTGGTGGAAAAGGCTCAAAGAAAGCAAATGGGAATGGGAACAGATGTTCTCTTATTCAAATGTGTATATGTTTTATTTTCCACAGACGGAAACGGGGTGAAAAAGGAGAAGTGGTGGAAACTGTTGAAGATGTCATTGTTCGGAAACTGACTGCTGAACGAGTTGAGGAACTAAAGAAAATGATAAAGGAAACCCAGGAAAAATATAGGTACTTATCAGAGAAATGCCAAACGATTGGGGAAGACAAAAGAGACTGACTTCTAATACTGGTTAGGATTTTTATTTATTTATTTGTTTGTTTGTTTGTTTATTTATTTTTAACATTTTAATATATTTTTATGGATTTCCGAGAGGGAGAGAGAGATAGAAACATCAATGATGAGAGAATCATTGATCGGCTGCCTCCTGCATACTCCCAACTGGAGATCGAGTCCACAACTGGGCATGTGCCCTTGACCAGAATCAAACCTAGGACCCTTCAGTCAGCAGGCCAAGGCTCTATCCCCTGGGCCAAACCAGCTAGGGCAGGATTTTTTTTTTTTTTCTTCTTTTTGATTTCAGAGAGGGGAAGAGAGAGGGGGAGAGAGAGAGAAACATTAGTGATAAGAGAGAATCATTAATCGGACACCTCTTGTACGCTGGGGGCCCACAGCCTGGGCATGTGGTCTGACTGGGAATCGAACCATGACCTCCTGGTTTATGGATTGACGCTTAACCCCAGAGCCACACTGGCTGGGCTGGTCGGAATTTTTTAAGTAGCAGATTAAAAATCCCAAGTCTATCTACCTCTCTTCCTACAGACGACTGAAAAGAGATGCAGAACTAATTCAAGCCGGGCACATGGACAGCAGATTGGATGAGCTTTGCAATGACATTGCAATGTGGGTTATATTATATTATTATTATTATTATACTTTTTTCTCTCTTTACCCCTTTTCTCCTTTAGTAATCTGGCTTATTTCCTCCTTCTGCCATTCCTTTAAGACTTGAGAGATTCTGGAAAGGGAGAGCTGCATAGTGGCCTGGCATTGGGAGGGGGGGAAGTGAGTTCTAGAAAGTAATGAGATGGAACATTTCAATGTGAGAACATAACTTAGTTCTAACTTAAAAGTGGCTTCAGTTTGTGTGGATGAAGAACCAGTAGTTAGGCAGTACACTCAAAATTTCCTGTTTTGCTGATAATAATTCCTTTTTAACCCTTTCATCCAGAAACTGCTAGCCTGGCAAATAATTTCCTTGTTAGGCACTGTGAACTGTGGAGGAGCTAGAGCTGGCTAGGATCTAACCTTTAATTTCCTCTTTAGGAAAAAGAAATTGGAGGAAGAGGAGGCTGAAGTAAAGAGGAAGGCTACGGATGCTGCATATCAAGGTAAGCTGAGCCTAGTGACTGTTTAGTGATTGACTATACAGTATTGCATGCTAAAAGCAATTGAAAACTATTTTATAATGTAGAATCCACTGATTCCAATTTACCTGCACACTTTCCTTTGTCATCTCTTATCAGAATAAAAACATCCCTTTGTTTCTTGGAAATAACTCTTAGAAAATTAGCTCTGCTCAAGTCTCACTAGATCTGTGTCCTTTTAGGATACAAAGGCATGAAAATAAAAACATTGAACATAATTAAGATTTTAGAAGTCAAAGGCCTATAAAAAGATTGAGAATAGCCCAGGCACTGGATATGGAGAGGAACTTAAGCATTTGTAATTCTAGGAATACATGCTCTGAGCTCATGAGGTCTTTCCTTGTTAAAAGCAGAATCTTTTTTTTTTTTTTTAATGTTTTTATTGATTTCAGAGAGAGAAACATCAGTGATGAGAAAGAATCATCGATTGGCTGCCTCCTGCATGCCCCCTACTGGAGATTGAGCCCACAACCCTGGGTATGTGCCCCAACTGGGAATCAAACTGTGAGCTCCTGGTTCATGAGTTAATACTCAGCCACTGAGCTGTACCAACCGGGCAAAAGCAGAATCTTAATAATAAGTTGTTAAGGATATTGAGGGATGTTTAAACCACTTTCCTACTCCAAGGGTTTTTGGGATAATTGAATAGTTTAAATGTTTGCTTAATGTGCCCGGCCGTTGAGGCTCAGTGGTGTTAAACATTGGACCCATGCACCAAAGGTCGCTCACCGGTTCAATTCTTGGTTAGGGCATGTGCCTGGGTTGTGTACTCGTTCCTCAGTGTGGGGCATGCAGTAGGCAACCAATTGATCGATCAGTGTTTCTCTTTCACTGATATTTCTGTCTCTCTGTTCCTCTCCTTTCCTCTCTTTCTAAAATCAATAAAAACATTAAAAAAAATTTTTTTTTTTTAGATAAAAAATTAAAAGGTGTTTGCTTAATGTAAGAATTTCTCTTGGGTAAGCTTTCTTGTTTCCCAGAGTGTTAAAGAAAGCCTTTTAAAAAATTTATTTTTAATTTAGCACTGCAGTTACTCAGAATAGGCCGAAAGAAAAAAAAAAAGCAATTCCAGCCCTAACCGGTTTGGCACAGTGGATAGAGCACCGGCCTGCGGACTGAAGGGTCCCAGGTTCGATTCCAGTCAAGCGCATGTACCTGGGTTGCAGGCACATCTCCAGTAGCGGGTGTGCAGGAGGCAGCTGATTGTTTCTCTCTCATGGATGTTTCTACCTCTCTATCCCTCTGCCTTCCTCTCTGTAAAAAAATCAATAAATATAAAAAATCAATAAATATATTTTTTAAATTCCATGAGTTCTAGATTTCATGAAAGGACCACATATGATACTATGTACATCGATTTGATATGCAAGTGTGCAATAAATATATACACATTTCTTCCTATCTGCTTTATGTCATTCTAAAGTATCCATAGGTCAAACTGAGATTTAGAAATGTGAAAAGGCCATAACAGTGAAAATGAAAATAACAGAAGCAACAAAGAAAGCTTTCTAATCCAAACTCAATGCTATTTTAGTAATGCAATATTTCTATTTTTCCTTTATTATATAATAGCCAAGTATGTCTAGTTTCATTTAGTTAATCTTGAAGACTTAGAAATTGTTCTTATATGTTCTAGCTCGTCAAGCAGTAAAAACACCCCCTCGGAGGTTACCCACTGTGATGGTTCGATCTCCTATAGATTCTGCCTCCCCAGGAAGTGATTATCCACTTGGGGACTTGACTGCAACCACTATGGAAGAGGCCACCTCTGGCGTGAGTACATTTCCATATGCAGGAATTAATCAGCAAAGGGGCAATAAGCCAGCAGAGAGCTGAGTGATGAGGAAATCACTTTTGGCCTGGAGGCAACTTCCTCTCTTGGTCTGAATGTCAAAGACTTACTTTACCTTGTTCTGTGCTCTAAGATAAGGATGGACCTAAAAACATTGAGGCTTTGACCTTTTGAGAGATAGGTAAAAGACTATATCAAGGAATTGTTTGTGTTAGTCCTATGAAATTCCTGCTGAAATAAGGAACAGTTGTTTTGTAATATATAATATTGGTAGTGGGTAAGGAGTTTGTATAAAAGGTAGGTTGGGTGGAGTGATTGGGTCATTGTGGGTTTGAGTAGGTGTAAAAGAAACAATTGTGGGGAAGAAAGTTGTGGCTGAGAGCAGGAGGGTAGGGGGTTTCTGGGCAGTTCCACTCAGGACTAAAACAATAATAGTTAGACACACTAACCCACCCAGATTAATAGGGAACCTTTCAGAGTTTGAGAAGTCAGATAAAGGTTCTCTGTTGTCTCTTAGGTAACCCCTGGGACTTTGCCGAGTACCCCAGTCACCTCGTTTCCTGGGATTCCTGACACCCTTCCTCCAGGCTCTGCACCCTTAGAAGCCCCCATGACCCCAGTAACAGATGATTCACCCCAGAAAAAGATGCTTGGACAGAAAGCAACTCCACCCCCCTCCCCTCTGCTGTCAGAGCTCTTGAAGAAGGGCAGCCTCCTGCCTACTAGCCCCAGACTGGTATGGAGACTTCTGTGGGTGTTTGAGAGCTGTGGTGATTTAATATTTTGGAAGGGAGTGCCTGGGACCTAAAATATGACATGGAAAAAAAGATTTAAAAGAGAAAGAGATCTCCTAGTTAAATGTTAATTAATTAAAAAAACAAACAATCCAACACAGTAAGTTGATAGTGCTCTTGGATCCTGAGGTATTTGAAACCATAATTATTTTGGTTCTCTTCTCCAGAGAACTCTTGTTACAAAATTAGAGTTTCCCTTGGGTCTGAAATTACTCTCTTTGGATATTAACTTTTATTTTTGTAAAGTTTGGTCAACTGCTGGAGCTTTTTTGGGAAGTGGTAGTAAAGGAAAGCTTGAGTGTAGCCTTCACCTCTATTCTTCCCTGATAGGTCAATGAGAGTGAAATGGCTGTGGCTTCTGGCCACCTGAACAGTACAGGTGTCCTCCTGGAGGTAGGCGGGGTCCTTCCCATGATACATGGTGGGGATTTGCAGCAAACACCCAACACTGTTGCAGCCTCCCCTGCTGCCTCAGGTAAGTCATCACTTTTCCATATTTACTTTACTTTAGAGATACTGAACTTGGCATTGATAGTCCTTGGTTTCTAGTCTTTGTTACTAAGCAATTGTTAATCCTAGATTTAAAGTCCAATCTTGGAACTATTTACCTGTTAAATCCTGTAGTGTCCCAGATTTTAAATCTCATCTTCAAAATATTGATAGCCCTGGATGATCACAGCATAGATATTAATGAGAGGAATAGAGAAGTTAATAGTGAAGCTGCTTCTCTGAGGCTTGCAAATTAAGATACCTGAGTTTATAGAGTAGAGGATTGAGATTTGGATTCAGGGACCTGGACTTGAGTCTCAGGCCTACCACACTCTGATTTTGTGACCTTGGCTAAGTAACTTAACTCTTGAGCCTCAGTTTTCTCTTTTATTAATTGCAATGTTTATACTTCACAAAAATGTAGAGATAATTAAATGATGTAGAAAATGTAAGGCAAAAAAAAGCCCTTTGCAAAATACCAAACAAACATTAGATATTGGCATTTGATTTTGAGTGGTTTATGGCACACTTAACTTTAGCAGAAGTGACATTTATTCACACCAGTTTTTTGGTATGTTTAATTTTTTTCTGAGGAAAAATTACTACCCAATTTTCATATACATTGTGTGTTCTAGTGCTTTGGGTCATTCCTATCTTGGTATAAGATATTAAGTAAAGGTAGAGAAAGTAAAGATATAGTTAATGAGTTTGTTCAACAGGAATTGCTTTCATTCTTTGAGATTAAAAATTTTCTTGGTTGTGTCTTAAAGTGGCTATTGCTTCTTATTCATGTGCTTCTTTCTTACCTCATTTTGTGTACCTCTTTGTCTGTTAGGTGCTCCCACTCTTTCCCGGCTTTTAGAAGCTGGTCCTACACAGTTCACCACACCTCTTGCTTCCTTCACTACTGTTGCCAGTGAGCCTCCAGTTAAACTTGTGCCACCCCCTGTAGAGTCTGTGTCCCAGGCTACCATTGTCATGATGCCTGCGCTACCAGCACCATCCTCTGCTCCGGCTGTCTCCACTCCTGAGAGTGTAGCTCCAGGTGCGTCCCTGACCCACGCCCTGAGCAGCCGCTAGGTCCAAAATTTCAGTTAGAGAAAAGTGATCAAGAGCATCAGCTCTAATTCACATGCCTCTGTTCTGTTCCCCATGGACATTTGCCATCTTTATCCTTAAGAAAAACAAGAATGTGAGAAGAGGTGGGTGGGCTTTTAATGTGTTGGGGGAAAGGCCAAATGTACACATAAGAGTGGGCTTGAGAATATGTTCTCACTAAAACTGGGAGAAGAAAACATAGGCAGATGTAAGAACTTTTTCTGAGCTTTAGTGTATGGGTACTTGACATCTGTCTACATCCTTGATGTGATCTCCATGTGGTCGCTTGGTTCTAAATAAGCTTCTGAGATGCTTTTCTCTTCCTGTTATTCAGTGAGTCAGCCTGACACTTGTGTTCCCATGGAGGCTGTGGGGGATCCACATACTGTGACTGTTTCCATGGATAGCAGTGAAATCTCCATGATTATCAATTCTATCAAAGAAGAGTGTTTCCGATCAGGGGTAGCAGAGGCTTCTGGAGGATCAAAGGCTCCCAGCATAGATGGGAAGGAAGATTTAGATCTGGCTGAGAAGATGGATATTGCTGTGTCTTACACGGGTGAAGAGCTTGACTTTGAGACCGTTGGAGACATCATTGCTATCATTGAGGACAAGGTAACTATTCAGCAACACCCAAAAGAATCTCTCGTGGGTCCTACATAGGCTTCTCTCCTCAGCCTCTCCTTGCTTCTCATAGTAACAATTACATAAACAATTTTCCTGCTCTGCCCACCTCCATCTCTGTAGTCCCAAAGCCCTTTGGTGCCGACGTACTAGTTATCTCCCCAGCCATCCTTATGTTACTGGTTTGCACAGGACAGATGCCTGTCCATTGATTGCTTCTACTACATGGAGAAAATGGAGAGAGAAGCTGCAGATTAGGCCATCTCATTCGGTGCTAACAGAATTGAGGTAATTGAGCTTCTGCGACTTCAGCAGTGTATGTTTTATGGGACAGGTAGATGATCATCCTGAAGTGCTGGATGTGGCAGCAGTGGAAGCAGCATTGTCGTTCTGTGAAGATAATGATGATCCTCGGTCTCTGCCTGGCCCCTGGGAGCACCCTATGCAGCAGGAAAGGGACAAGCCAGTTCCTCTTTCTGCACCAGAATTGACAGTCAAGCAAGAGAGGCTGGACTTTGAGGAATCGGAAAACAAAGGAATCCATGAACTGGTAGACATCAGAGAACCTGGTGTTGAGATCAAAATGGAACCTACAGAACCAGAGCAAGGCATTTCAGGGGCTGAAATAGTCACTGGGGTTGCTCCAGCCACATGTATGGAGCCACCAGAACTCAGGAATCAGGACTTAGATGAGGAACCCAGAAGTACTGCAGCTGGAGAGATTGTTGAAGTAGATGTTGCCAGTGGGAAAGGCGATGAGACTCCACTTACAACTGTGAAGACAGAGGTATTTACAATAAGGGTCTGGGAGGATGAAGGGTTATACCTTAGGTAAGAAGTGAAAGTTTAGGCCTCTGGTTTTTTGTTGCATTCCTGAGTTTTGACATGTTTGATGTGTCTAAAGTGTATGGGTGTGATGAGTGCTATACATATATATACTTAACCTATATCTGTTAAAGAATGTAATAGAATCTTTTTTTTTTTGAAGCATTAAAGCATTTAATTAAATTTGTAAATGGAACCAAAATTAACACAGGCTCCTTTTAACAATTATTAAATTTGTATATGTTTATAAGGAAAATAAGAGAATAATTAATATCATAATTGAACCAGGGTTTTGTATTTATAACTTTAATAAATTGAACAATTAATTTTAAACCACTATTTTTTTTTCCTTTTCATAAGCCTTTATCTTATGTCTCTAAGCAGTAAATTAGATTTTTTTTTTTGCTAAA